GATGAAAATGCAGAGTCGATTTTGCTGCTCTTTTTGCACGTTTCACTTCAAGTGCATTCGGAAGAGAGGCTGGACCGCTGTCCCGATGGGTCAGCGCGAGGAAATAGATATGGTCTCCAGGGTGCTGTAACTCAAGGGAGCTGCTCTGGGACTGTGCGGTGGGGCCTGTGTCGGCGCCGCCACCGGACCGGAGCAGTTCGTTACAGCGCCGTGCCTCGCCTGCACCCTGTTTTAGCTCAGGCTGGTGCGAACGGTCCAAACTACGCTACGGCCCCATGCCCCCCCGCATAGGGCCGTGAGGGATTTAAATCCAGAATGAAAAACACGAGGCGCGTTCGCCTCGTCTTGTTCTGTCTGCATGTGGGTCTGCAGTGACACCATCACACTTCGCAGTAGTCGAGGGACCGATGGGTCGCGCACAGCTCAGAGGATTATCTCTCCTCTCTATTGCCTCTCTCCTTCCCCTTCCTCTTCTTTCCTCTCTCGGTTCCCTTTCTACCCCTTCTCTTCCCCCCTTTCTCTCTTTGTCCCTCTCGCATAGCCGATGCGCGTAGAGCGCGATTCATCAAAGACCAGATTAGCGAACTGCATGCACTGCACCGCGTGTGTGTGGGCGCGCGTGTGGTGCATCGCACTAGGGCCTCACTCGTACGGAAATTAGATTGACAACTGTCCGGATGAAATTAGTGATGCATTAGTTCTGTTCATCCGTCCGCCGCTGGCATCGCGGTCTGTCTCACCCAGAGAGAGAGAGAGAGAGAGGAGTGTTTTTTAGTGTGTGTATGTGTATGAGAGAGGGAGAGGGGGATGCGAATGCGTCCATGTGTGCCACATTGGGATCACACTGTGGGCTTAATATTGATAGGCATCTCCGGGCTTGGCCGATAATGTTATCTGATCAAAATACAAGTAAGGCACCCCACTCTTTTACCTGTAAAGGGAGATTTTGCGGGATAAAATATACACTAATGTCTGCTTTATAAATGCGGGATGCGGTCTGTGTTCCTGGTATATTTGTTTGCTGTTTTATATTTTTTCTTACGGTTGTTGCTCGAGATGTGATGAACATGATTTGTGGAGTGAGAAGCTATAGCGTTGGTTATCTGCGAAATGCTGGAGACGATGGAGCGTTGCGTTGAGTGAAAATCTTTTCGCATTATGAAAGGAATCTCATAGCCCTGTTCATGTTGAAGAGCCGCGCGGCGATGGTGACTTTTTGTCATGTGTTGTTATCGGCGTCCCGTGGTGCAGGTGGCGAGCAGGCGGCCTCGGATGTACGAGTAAATAAAGGAGGCCTCTGCTGATCCTGTGGCGAGCCGGGGGATTGGGCTGCGATCCGTCCCTCCACCCCCGCCCCTCGGCGCTCGTAAAGTTGTGGCCGAAGGGCGATCGTGCTATTGTGACAGCAGACTGCTCCCTGATTTCTGTCCGCATCTCCGCTGATCGCCTCCCCCTCCTCCTCTGCCGCCGTTCGCCTAGTGGACGACCGTCTCTTTTATTAAATGTGATCCTTTGCGATGTTTTTCGGCCCTTGCCTCTCGCCCGTGATCGTAGGAGACAACTGCAGGAATTGCCAAAACCCGCTCAGGAGAGAGAAGTTCCGAAAACAGACGACAGTTTCCCAAATAATGTCAGTGTGGCTTGTTACTGGCCATCAAGTTCAGCGGGTTGCCTATGCCTCAGTTGGCGGGCGCACGGCCCCTGTGTGAGCCTGCAGCGCTCTGCCTCTGACATCCAACACACCTGCACGTTGTGCACACTCGTGTTGGCACGGTGCTCGGCTCTGCTGATCTGTTGTGAGGTTCTGCCACGCGGTTGGAGTGGAAGGAAAACAGAGTAGAAGTGCAGGGGAGAAAATAGGGAAGGGGAGGAGAGAGGACAGCCAATATGGCTCGCTTTCAAACGCTAATCCTTCGGTGCCGTCTCAAACCGCCTGTCCCCACCCCTGTCCACTCTGCTGCTCATCTGTCCAAACAGACTGTTGGAATAATTTCATCCCCTCTATAAAATACATTAGTCATTGATTCCCTTTTCTTTTACTCGGTGCTTCGCTCCGTTTACAACCCCGTGTTGGACATAAACGACAACGTACTGAACATATATCCCTTCTCTTTTTCACCTGCATCCGGTACACGGTAAATCTACGTCGTGGTTATGGAAAAAACCAGAACGTGCTCCCGTAAGAGATGCTTGGCTGATCGGAAACCATGACGTCGTTTTTGTTTTTACTGTGTAAATTGTGAGGAAGGTTTTTCCAATACTCCCTTTTTGCAAATCTTTATTTTCCAAAGGCTCATGGTAGAGTCATTAGGTTACATTTCACTGTGTACGCCTTCCCTTATCCTACGTGGTTCCTTATTGCTGATGTTCATTTTACCGCTTCGCATTGAGAATTTCTCATCCAATCCCGTTGGTTGGTGGCGCCAAAGCCTGGCTAATAAGCCGCGGAGTGAGTGGCACGCAAGAGGTGTGTGTTTGCGCGCGCGCGCGCGCGTGTGTGTGTGTGCGCGTGCGTGCTTTCATACTCTGGCGTGTCGCTGTGTTTAGAATCCCCGCAGGAGTGGTGCGGTCTCAGGAGGAACCGCCGAGTTTGTGTGATCCGCAAAGCCGCTCTCTGCGTCTCCCCCCCCCCCTCTCTCGCCTTTGCTTCCCTTTCCCCGCTCCCTTGTCGCATCTTCCATACCGGCAGGTAATTAATTGTGATGGAAGGCTGCGCGGTGCGCAGAAGGGTTGAGGTCCTTGGGCGGCGCTAGGATTACAGCCCTATTGTTTCTTTCTAGGTCATTATTTTGAATGCGCCAAAGCGGTGGCCCTTTCCTCTCCTCCGCGCCGCTTCCCCGTCCGTAAACGAATTTCCTCCAGGGTCGCGGCGGCGTATCGAGAGGCCTCAGATGGCGCGGAATGGCGCGCCGCCGCGCAGGTGCGCCTGCACTACTAGCCGCGGCGGCAGGATTAGACGAGGCGTAGATTTTTGCCAAGTGTTATTTGCGATTAACATTGCGGGGGTTGGGAGCTCCGTATTAAAATTAAACTGCGCGCCCCCGCGCGTTTTTGGCGGGCGAGCGTCCGATGGATGTGCGTATTTCTCTAGAACGGCGGCGCCGTGGCGCTGCTGGCTTAATTATTTTCGGAGGGCGGTGGGTGGAATAAGTTAAGCGGATCAGTGGGCCGCGCCGCGCCCCGCCGCGCGCGTATAGCATTGTTTGCACCTCTGGTCACCATCTGACCAGGGATACTACCGAGTCGAGAGAGAGAGAGAGAGAGAGAGAGAGAGGGAAGAGAGATTATAGCTCGGTCGTGACGTTTTGTCCCTACCAATAATACATCCTAGATTTGCTAATGACGCTATGATAGTGAGGATTAGGGGCGGTCCCCGCCCCCGCCCCACTCGCGGTTCCCGTAGACAGGTGGCTGCTACAGCTGATGCGATTACTGGATGACTGATTCGCGGTCAAGTGATCACATTGGGTCCTTTTTCTATTTACATAATCGGCCATCGATCACGGCCAGACTCTTCTGCGGCTGAGATTATTAACATTCTGCCTCCTGTAGGAGACAATCATAATTATTATTTTAATAATCTTGCCGACAAAAAGGAGAGATGTGTCTCTTACTGCCGGAGAGGAGCGGCTGGGCCTGTCATCGGCACAGACTTCCTCATCCTGAGAATTATTAACTAAATAAAGCTCGGTGCTGCGCGTCTGACAAAGATGAGAGAGAGAGAGAGAGAGAGAGGGTCGAAAGAGAGCGGGCGAGAGAGAGGCGCACCTCCAAGGAGTCTCTCTCCTTTGATCCGGCCATAAAGCCTGGCCCGGCTGCGCCCGGCCGCGCCACTCTCCCGCTGGGCTGCAGCGGGGGGTCCGCTCCGCGCGCCAAAGGGCGACTGTGTGTTTTTGCAGATCGGGAGCAAAGGGTTGGCCCGGGGATTAGAGCCGAGCCCAGAGGGGAGCGGCGCTGACAGATGGTGGGGGTTATGTCTCCGGGCTGGCGCCCGCCCCCGCCGCCCCCTGGAGGTGCACCGCGCAGTTAAAAGCCGCCGCAGAGTGTCGGCGAAAGGTTTAAATTTTTAATTCTTAAACATTCTGGTGTGGAGCCTCTTGGAGACAAACGCGCGCCGGGCCGGCGCCGCTCAGAGGACAGCCATTAGCTCATCTCGTAAGCCTATATCAATTTCACGCTGTCGCTGCGCGTCGCGGCGCTGCGTGGTGCGACTTGGCGGGGCGTGGCTGACGCGATGCTCTCCAGGAATGTGTTTTTGTCCCGGGCGGGAGCGGCGCCCTGTCGCACCCCGACTCGCCACGCATTGCCGCGCTGCGCCCCCTTCGCCCCCTCTCTTTTACTCCCGCTGCTTTCCGTATCGCTCTCGCTCTCTCACTGATAAGGTAATTCGGATAGGGAATGCTGATCGGTCCGCCGATAAGGCCTCAAAGTATCGCCTGTCCCGCTGATTGGGTGGTCTTGTTCCTGTCGCCCCGACGCGGTGCCCGTCTGATGCGCTGCTCGGAGCCCCCCGACATGCAGCGTCGCGGCGGGGGCGCCAGTATACCTTCCTGTAAACAATAGTTATAAAATGGACCAGATAATTCTATATTGAATCGGTTTTTATCTTTTATTCCTCGGGGACATCGTCTAGTTTAAGACAGTAAATTTACACTGGCCACGCAAGTGTTGGAATGTCGCACGCTAGTAGGAGTGTGAATGCCATATATTCGTACCCTTAAGGGAGTGTAGGTGTGAATTTTCCTTTGAAATTCCATGTGTCTCCGAGGTACATTCCCATGCAGTGCCTCGATACTAGTAGTCACTTCCCAGAGAAAATAAAGATGCTCAGCCATAATGTTAAAAAAGCAGTTTTGAAGTGTTAAGTTTTAAATTTTCTTTGAATTAAGGTGCATACTAAACGATTAGGCTTAACGTTAATTAGAATTTGGTTCAAATCAGAATGACTATGATTTTATTTGCGTTCCCTTGTAGACATTCCTATAATCTGTAACACACAGTTTGCTCGCACAGGTTCCTTTCGCGCTTTTGTTGCTGTTCTTCCCCAAAATGAAGCGATCCGCATCAGGGTCTGCCAGTGGCGGTGGCGACCCGCAACCATCATCCAAGTCTGCGCGGCCTCGCGGTGCTACAGAAGTCAGGTGAGAGAGTGTTTTTACCTTCCTATCCTTCCGGGGAGAGAGGGGTGTAGCCATTCGCAAAGGCCGACACTGGTACTTCCCCCGAAGTTCCTTAGACTGTCCTTTTTTGCTTCCAGGTCATTGTGGTGCGCTGGCTGCTGGGCACACCCGGCTGACGGCTGCACCGGAGAAGATCACCGCGTGATCCCAGTCAGCGAGGCTCAGCTGGAAGCTACAACGGCCCTGGACGACACTCATCGGGCGTTCAAGGAGGCGTTGAAACTACACCAGACACGCCTGGACACCGTTTTGGAGGCCACCGATTCAATGAAATTGATGGCTCTAGTCGACTCTTATCTGGATGATGACAATTTGTGCGACTTAGACGGGGGTTGGGTGACCATCAGGCTAGCGCCTATTGCCGGTGGCCTCACTGAGGAGGAGAAAGAGTCGGTCACTGAAGCCATGACAGGTGGGGAGTTGGAGTGCGAATGGTTTAATCGTGGCCCGGAGGACGGAGCAGTGGCCGCGCAGGGTAGTTTCGACACATCGTGCATGTCAGGAGTGCTGCAGAAGCTTCCCCGATGCGTGGAAGGGCAGACGCTCCATGCCGGCTCCATCGTGTGTTTTTCCGAAGCAAGTTACGAAAACTTCTGTGTGTATGACAAGGCTGTGATAATGAGCGAAGACCACGTGCGCCGTGGACCCCGTTTATTCGGTCTGGTAACAGATGGAGGCGACGCCTTTCGTGCCACTGCCCGGTTAGACTCAGACGATAGTCATTATAACGGCATTCACAGCACCTATGGGAGTCCGGTGCATAGTGAATTTAAACAAGTGAAATTTGTTGACCTCTGACGCCGTGGCTTGAACTGTTAGCAAAGTAAGAAATGACAGTGCTCATTGTTTTAAAAACCATGTTAACAACATTATTTCTTCTTCAACCCTTCATTATTTGAAAGCCAACGCTGTTTTCGTTATTTTTAAATTGCACTCCTACCTAATACCTATTTTTTCTTCAAATATGTAGTCTGCTCATTGCAATAAAACAATTCTATCCCTCGAAGTTTATTAGTATGTGTTTCATTTCCTTTCCCGACATACTGTACAACCATATATACTGTTCGTGATCTGTTTTTTTTTTTTTTTTTTGCACAGTTTGGTTTGTTGATAAGTTTTCATGAAACCCGTCTACAAATTTACTAAATTTAATCTAAATCAATAATATTTATTACCCAGACCTGACCCCCATAGCGCTCTTGTGTTATTTGCATGACATAAATTGTGTCGCAACTTCTACCTGGCTGCACTTCATGAAATGTGTAGTCTAGGCGAGATAAAAGAACCCTTGTATCAGAAGAAATGACTTGAAAACTAGTTGCCTGAATATTGCGTTCATAGATCAGGAAATGACAGTTTTTGTTTTTATTGGGTTCGACACCTAGTTTTACCCCTTGTTGCCCGTGATCCTTATTCACCCTTAGACTATAAGCATTAATGAAGTCGCAATCATTTCTTAACAAAGATAGGTAATTACTTATAACAGTTGAAATATTCATTCACCATTAAAAACAATATTTACTTAAGTTTTAAAAAGTTTCTACTTGAACTGAAGTGCCTGCCTACTCTTAATCTAAGAGAAGTTCCATGTGGTCCCGTGCCACAAGGGAAGTGACTTGGGCACATCACTGACCAGTCCAAATCTGTGTGGTTCAAACCAGTGGCTTGGTCTTTTGCTAGCGGGACTTGGTTGTCCTTATATACTTAAATATTTAACTATAGTTAATTGGTGCACGCACAGGGTTCCCGCCGCGGACTATTGCTGCCGATTGCTGCGTACTTCCCCGAGATGGACTCAGCGAGAAAGCGGTCCGCATCGTCAGCCAGCGGCAGCGGCGACCCACAGCCACCACCGAAGGCAGTGCGACCTGCCCGTGCTGCCGGAGCCAGGTAAAAACATGCTTCCGACTTTTCCAACCCCAGTACACGACAGAACTTTCTATTGACCGCTGGTCGATATGCCCGACAGGTGACCGACGTGTCTCTATGTGTGGTATCCTTGCGGCGTGAATTCTAGAGAACATCGATGTTAAAAGGCTCCTTACAGTGCCGATCTGCTTTCAGGCCAATGTGGTGCGTGCGATGTTGGGCGCGACCGGCTGACGGCTGTACCGGAGACCACCGCATCCTCTCCGTCAAAGGGGCTCATCAAGAGGCTGCGGTGGCTCTTGCTGACACTCAGCGAGCGTTAAAGCTGTGCCAGACTCGTCTCGATACCGTTTTGGGCGCTTGCGAGCCAATCATGCTGATGGCTCAAATCGAATGGCAGGAGGATTCTGAAAACTACTGTACCTTAGAAGGAGGATGGTTGACTATCAGAATCTGCTCCATTGACGGCGTACTCACAGATGAAGAGAAAGAGGCCGTTACCGTGGCCTTGGAGGCTGGGGAGTTGGAGTGCGAATGGTCTGAGCACGGCCCGGAGGACGGTGTGGTGGCTGCGCATGGTAGTCTCGACATAGCGCGCATGGCTAAAGTGCTGCCGAAGCTACCCCGCTGCGTAGAAGGGCAGAAGCTGCACATCGGCTCAATTGTGTATTTCTCGAAGGCCCAAGGCGACTTCTATATCTATGACAAGGCTGCGTTCATCAACAAAAGTGACTTGCGTCGTGGGGCCCGTATACTCGGACGAGTGACGCAGGGAGTGGACGTGCTCCGTGTGTCCGCTAATTTAGACTCCGACGATTCGATTTACCGCGAAATGGACGTCATTTATGGGAATCCTATGACTACCCAGCTCAAGAGCGTGAAATTTGTCGAGAGCAAGGCGCATGCCTGACTTTCTGGCTTGAATTTCTAGCACTGAACTTGCACAATGGTTCCTGTTTCTGCGTGTTGTCCCATGTAAACTTTCATCTGTCCTACGTTTTTGACCTTTAAAGTGTGATTTTGTTTTTGACTAAGGTGTGACTACATGCCTATTGCATTACTTCTTGCTCCCCTTACCATGTAGCTCTTATTTTTGTGTCCATACACGCTAATTAGTAATAAAAATGCTGATATTTTCTGTTGCCTGAAGCTGTTTGTTGAAATTGAAATACTTGGAGTATTGATCAATTTCAATTTTCGACTAAAATGCCTCACTTATCCCACTTTAACTATGCTTTGGCGTACAGTTAAAATGAAAGCTTAATAATTTTACAAGAGTACAATGCGGAAAAGTTTCCAGGTTGACTTCGAACCGCGCTGCTCCACCTCCACAGCTGTGCCGTCCTCACCCTCGCTCAGCACCTCGCATGTGCTCCATCGGGGTCACCCCCCGCGGTTGACAGGAGTCCTGACGTGCTTGTCGTCGCCCGGCCCGAGCTTGTTGGCTGCGGGCCAGGGCGAGGCCCAGGCGCACCCGCGGCTCGGCTCGGCGCGCGCTAATCCTGGGCCAGGGTGGGCGCCGAGCAGCCAAAGCAGACCATTCCCATGGAGATCCTCATGAGGAGCGCGCGGGCGCGATTGAATTCCTCAGCCGGTGTCGACATGGGGCGGGCGGGCAAAAAGCAGGGGATGTCCTGCCTCACCCCCGCGGCCGCCCGCGGCCCACCTCCCCCACCGCGGGGCGCAGATGTGTGCCGATGAGTCGTAAACAAGACAAAAAGACGGCCTGCCACTAGGAGCTTTGCCTGAATGCCGTCTCTCTCTCTCTCTCTCTTTCTCTCTCTCTCTGGATGTTTTGTACGATTGAGATTGCGACGCCGCGGGAGGTTCGAAATCGCAACACCAGCGCAGAACAGATTGGCAACGCCCACCGATTGATTGGCTGTCAATAGTGATTGGGGGGCCGACGCCTCCCTGCATCTGGTTCGAGAATGGGAGAGGGATCTTGGGCAGGTCGCGGGGTGCCAAAGTGGAGCTTGTTGGCCGCCACACGACACGGCCGCCGCCGCCGCTGTAGAGAGAGACAGAGAGGGAGAGAGGGTTTGTGGTGCAGAACTACCCAACCCACCTCACAAGGCGCGCTGCGGCCCGCGGCTGCCGCTCGATGCTCGACTTCCCTGTCCACGGCCGGCGTTGCAATGGGGGCTGACATCTCCTTGCTACGCGATACCCGTCCATAAATCGGTCCCCACAATGCCTTTCGACACGTGTTGGCTGTTTCCCCCTCTCGCACAAAAAGGGTTCGGGTCAGCGAGGGGAGCGCCGCGAGCGGCGAGGCCATCATAAACAAATATTTCAATATTTCTTTCAGAGCTGTAACACGAATTTCCTGCAATTGCATGAATGCCTTGCCTCCCCCCGCTGCGACCCCAAAGCGACCCGAACGACCCGGAGGCACCCAACCTGCGCGGTGTGGACTTGTCTCCTCCCTCCTATTCGCACTAGTGATTCGCGCATATGCACGACATATTGGCAAAGAGTAAATATTGCTTTGTAATGAGGGGAAAAAAGGGTTTCTTTGTAACGGTTGGTTGATAGACTCTGCAGCTGTTTAGTTTGCCAACATTGTCTTACAGCCCATCGCGAAAAAAAGGGGTTGTCTCTGCTCATGTAAAGCGATGGATGAAATAAAATAAAATACGTAAGAAAAAAATACAGCAAGGGTAATGTATAAAAGTGTCGGCCATGAAACACTTTAAAAGGGTTGTTGTCGATGTTGTCTGCCCGGAAGGGCGGGCAGCGAGCGGAAGGGGCGGGGCAGGGTGCAGCGCGGCGGCCGTGCTGCCGGACACTCCCACTCACACACGCAACACGGCCCATTGAAAAATCCGCGACGGTCCTCCCGTGAAATCGGATCCATTGAGTCGGCACAGCGCCACGGCCTGCAGCCTAACCAGGGCGCCATGGCGTCCAACGGCCCCTGCGAATTGTGTGAGCCTCGCAGCTGTATACGATGCGCTAAAGGCATGCTCTTGTCAGCATGCCTACTAAAGTTGCCTGAGCTACTGTCCGCTACCTCCCTGGCTACCTCACTGCCGGCCGCTACCCCCTTGCGTGCGTCCGCTCCAGAAGTGTTCCTGCTAACGGCTGCTTTTGTGATTTGTGGCAGCCTTGGCCTGGGGATGATCGGCTGGAGCAGGGCGCGCTGCTAGAGGGAGGGTGGCGAGTCGGCGGCGTCCGGGCCGAAGATTTGTTTGGGGACTTACGCTTTTCGGAGGACACAATAACACTGTGTCGGTAACAAAATATTCCGATGGGCGTTTTTGACCTCCCGGTCTTCCTTCTTCCCCCCCGACTGGCGCTCCCGCCTGGCTCAGGTTACCACCGCGCCGGGGCTGCGCTGATCACATTAGCGCGGCGCAACATCGACTGGCAAATCGAGTTGTTAATCTGCTAATTGAATGTGGCGCGTGCTGGAGCCGGCCCTGGAGCCGGCGGCTGCTCCAGACAATGCACATCAAAGACGGACCGCGGCCTGCTGGAGGCGGACTCGAGGCGACCCCGAGGCCCCGACACAACTCCATTTACACCTCGGCAAACAGCGAACGCCGGGGGCATCTTCACCCCTCCCTCCCCGTTATCCGCCCTGCCTCAAACGCCCCGCGCCGGCTCGCCTGCTTGTTGAATATTGACGTATTGGAATAAGTTGCAAGTTACGAGGCATATACTAAATGGTTGTTTTCGATAGGTTTAGAGACTAGACTATTCTGGCCAAAGTCCTAACTTACTGATCAAAATTGATTTTTGATACGAAGTCGTATATAGATGAATGGGAAGTGCAGTACAACTACAAGCTGTTCGCGTAGCTCGCGGTGCATCGGTCTGCGCACCCCGCGCAGCAGCGCACCCGGCCTGCCGCTGGTAACGCGACCTCCGTAATGTGACCGCGGATATGCATTTTTCCCCTCATCCAATTTTTCCCCCGTCGATGTGCTTTACATCCTTTATCCTACTGCCGGCCGGGACCGATCATTTGAGAAAAAGTATTATTGCATGAAAAGGGAGAGGGAAGGGAGAGATGGCTCGCTGCGCGCACCACGCACCCAGACACGCACATACACGCACTCACTCTCTCTTACACATACACAGCCTCACACACACACGAACGCGCAGACAAACGGCACGTGACCGAAGGGAGCAGAGGTTGCAGGCTGCAGGTATATCGCTGCTCGGGTTACACCCAATCCCACTCACCGGGAGGCCCGCCATGCACTTCCGCGTGGAGTTGCCCCCTACCCCCCACCGCCGCCTCTCCCCGGGCGTTCGCGGGGCTGTGGCGGTGGCGTTGTGGGGTCAATCTCACTAAAAGGCCTGGAGACGGCCAGGGAACAACTCGGGTAGTCGTCAGCGCAAAGGCAGTAGTAGCTGACGTGTTGCGTAGATAAACTGTAATTGTCAAGAGTTTGTATGTTGGTTTTATTTTTAAATCGCGTTTCCTGAAATTTGTAACTTTGCCCTTTACTCTCTTTATCATCGTTTCGTCGAACCGCCAACCCTAACCAGAATCTACTCGTCGTGATTACACATCTCCCTCGTCTTTATTGCGCGACACGTGTCGGGAGGTAATTCGTACTTACCTCTCCTCTGGAGGAGACTTCGAACCCCCCCTCCCCCCGTTCCACCTCCTCTTTGCCTGGTGCTCTGCCAGACCACAGCCGCCTTTTGCCGAATTTTAAAAGTTTCTCCTTGTCGGTGCCGCCGTGCTCCAATCCAATTAGGACCCGGCGGAATAAAAATGCGTGTTTAAGGAGGGCAGTGCCCCCATCCCCCGGCTGCTACTGTATTGGATTTCTCTGGTGCGGCCAATCCGAGACGAAACCCTGCTTTTTTTTCCTTTCGGTCGAGCGGCGGCGCGCTGTTGCTTGTCTGTGTATTACCTCGGCATTAATTAACCATATTGCGCCCAACCCTTCTCCCTCCCTCGCTGTGCTTCTCTGCTGCAGCGAGACACTCTGACTTAAAGAGATCTCTGCACCTCGCATTAGGGACCAGAAGGGAGGGGGGGTTAAAGGAGCATCTCTTAAGATTTTGCGTTTGCGCCCTAATGCGGTCTTATTGGGCATTACGGAGGCCTCTGGGGGGCGACAGGCGACGCGGACCTCAGGGAGGGAGCGTGAGCTCGAAAGGAGGTTGGGCGTCGCGCCGTCCGTCTCCAGACCACTGTACTTACTGCCGCTGTGCTGTACTCCCTTGACATTTGCAGACAACTGCACCAGCCATAACGCCCCCACACCGCTGCTAACGCCGTCGAACTGGACGGCCCGGGGGAAGCAGGGCTGTGTTTGTGTGTGAGAGAGGAAGGGGGGGGGGGAGAAACGGTGCCATGGCCGTGGCCTCGGGACGCCACCCGCTTCTGTTTTGTGATAAAATGGCAAATCGTCCTTGTGCAGCTGCGGGGTGTCCGTGCGGGGGCGGGTGGGGGAGAGGGGCGCGAAACTCACTTCGCCCGAGTGTCATTCGAGGCGTGCACTTACGCCCACGCCCTTATCCCACGCAAACGCGGGTACACGCGGATGTGCGGCGATACTGAGGGTGGAAGGATTTCACACTTTTGAAGTGCGGAGAAAAACAGCAAAACAATAAGAACATTTCAAAACGAGTGCCAAATGAATCATGTATGTAGTTGAATTCGGTGGCATATGACCTGTTTGCGTTGTGTTTAGTTGACAGTGGCGAGGTTGCTGCGACAAGGCGGCGCGGCGCGGAGCGGCGGAGCGCGGCAGTGGCCCACTAAAAGGTTTCCTTTGCCAATTACAGTCGCCGACTCCGCGTTTGCGCAGCCGGCAAAAATTGAGCGTGCCACACGTGGGTCCCCGCGGCGCGGTGGGGCGCGGCGGGGCCGGCGGGGCCGGCGGGGCGGGCTAGCTCCGGGCGTGCCGAACTTTCTTTATTAAATCGCTCCGTATTAGCCCGCGCCAGGCGCGCTGCTTTCCGCATATGAGGCGGTGCGCGGCTTTACGCACTGCCTCTCCACCTCTTTCATATTTTTGTTTCTCATCGCGCCGCCGCCCCGTCCCGCCGTCATCCTCGTGCTCGTCGTCCTCCCCACCCCCGCCCCGGGGCAGTCGTATTGTCCAGGCCGCCGTGTGGGCGCGGCGCGGGGCGCCCCCGGAAGCGGAGGAGTCCTTCCGGCAAATGGAATAAAAGCG